ACCAAGAAGACAGAAACACACACACAAGTTACAAAGAACCAGAACCTAAACGAGAACACAGAACTAGAACACAGAGTACAGAGGAGACCAAACCACAATAATGCAAACAAGGACCAGGAATGAACACCAAAACATGAACTAAGGACATGGAACTAAACACAGACTCCCAAACAAGACACACAGACAGGATCATGACAAAGAGTTCAGAATTTCAGATTTTATTTCCTGGTATTCACATCAAGATGTGTTAAACATCTCCGGACATATCACCGTTTGTATTAGACCACTGCACTCTTAGGTGAGCAAAAGTAATGGAACAAATAATCTTAAAGTAAATAACATTTAATATTTGGTGGCATAACCCTTGCTTGCAATAACTGCCTCAAGCCTGCGACCCATCGACATCACCAAACTGTTGCATTCTTCATTTGTGATGCTATTCCAGGCTTTTACCGAAGCTTCTTTCAGTTCTTGTTTGTTTCGGGGTGTTTCTCCCTTCAGTCTCCTCTTAAGGAGGTGAAATGTATGCTCAACCCAATACCCATACCCAAGTGAAAAAGAAATACACTTAAGTAGCACTTTTTTTATTGTTTATTTTATGTTATTTTGGAACAACTTAAAGTATGTTAAGTGTCATTTTAGAAATACTTAAAGTCAACTTTAAGATATATTTTAATATACTTAGTTGTGTTAAAATTGACCTAGTAATTTAAATATACTTTTTTAAATTTAACTTAAAATAGCCTTTTGTGCTATACTTGTGCAGAACAGTTTAAATATATTTTAAACTTCACATAAATGTGTTCCCTGAACATTTTTATTAGCATTTCAGCATATTACTAATTTATTACTGGTATACTCCAAGAGCCACTATTAATATCTTGGGAAGCTGCTTTATGAAACCATTCAGTATGAGAATAATTCATTATTAATGCATTAAAAATATCTTGCAAAATGCCCTTTTAGCATAATAATAAAAATCAGTAAAAAATGTATTTTACAACAGACACACAGACAACTAAAACTAAACTTTAATTTTGTGTATATTACAAAAATAAATTCCTGTACATTAAAAGGTACAGCAGCATGTATCACATCTTGACCAAAAAATCTTCAAATAAAAATAAAATCAGTAAAATGATGACATAGGGGTCCCTCATACGGTTCGGACTCTGGGTACGGCTCAGATGACCTCACGGCAAGCCATCCCACTTCTGAAACCATATGCTGCCAAAGGCGTGAGCAGTCACCCTGCCCAGATTCAAACACAGTTCTTCAGGGTACCAAACATGCAACTTTGACAGCAAGGCCAAAGAGCCAGGCTCGTTGGTATCGCAGTCCAAGCGCTTACTCAGCTGTAGTGAAGGTACTCCGTCACAAGCATGCAGTACAAATAGTGGAACCAAACTGAAACTGAAAAATGTCACAATCCTTATCCTTGAAGTAGAGTCGGTTATCTTTAAGTAGGACTCATTGCTTTTTCTGTGACTGCAGATATTATGAGATTTGGAAACTGCTTTATCACACAGCATCTGTGGAAGGAAAAGGAAATATTTTGCCTATATCAAAGCAATATTACCTCTAATTAATTAACAACCATTTTTTATTTTGTTTAAAGTTGCTGAAACACAAAATGACATCATGTCTAGCTGTTCTGATAATGTTCTTTAGGTTCAGGTGAAATGGTTTTCCACAAGGGACCCCTCCCAGTTACTGCACAGTTCATCCATTACAACATGATCAAAAACATTACATAAAAACTACTGTGCATTCAGCCGAGGAGCTGGATGTGATAAAATGTTATTAAACAGATACAACAAATAACACAAACATACAGACTTGCTTAACAACTGTTCTGTCAACATGTCATTTCACATTAACACAGCAGACAATTTGTGAAGTACAAAAATAGCATTAAGTAGTATTACTTAATGCATAATAATATTTTAAATAAAATTATTTTTTCACAAGAATATTTGTTTATTTAGTCTGACCCCGTTGACTTGTAGTGAGAACAAAAACAGTGATGGTGTGCAGGAGCCAGACATACCTATGAGCACAGTGAGCTTGTGAGGGTCCAGCTGGTCCTTTGAGTATCATTATAAACACTGCAATTCTATTCTCATAGCAAATCTTTATTATTATTCTTTATTTAATTTTCTTGAGCTAAGGCAGGAAATTCCAACTCTGGGTTTAGCATTAAGTTGGTTGAAGTTGGCAAAGGGTAGGTTCAAGTTTTAAAAGTTGAAAACAGGATCTGTGACCATACAAATGGACATAAAGTTGAGCAGTATTTTACATAACATCACATGCTATTATATCGTGTGGTCAGACATTGCAGTACATAAAAACATTATTTCAAGCGCGTCTTAAAACAATTCTCACATACACGTGTACACTTTAACATTGCTGTTATAACTGAGTTATTGGTCACTGTAATAATCCCCCTCCATGGTTGCAGTGAAGAGAAATCTCTAAAAAACAGAGTATCCACTTTTGAATAGTGTAACACAGATGCTTAGCTGGCGATTCATAGTAGCTTCAGCTAAACTTTAGAATGAATTTATACAAAAATGACAACTGTGGTAATTGTGATGTCTTTAGAGACTATATGGGCAGGAATAATGATCACAGTGACCAATAAATTACTGTAAACATGGACATGTGAGTATTAAGGTAGACTATAAAAATGTGAACCTTTAGCACACAGACAGCAACATATTAATTGCATTTATTACTCTGATAAAGACCTCACTGGTCATTTTAACAGTGCAAAAGCAGAATTGAGGGCTCACACATGCTCAGGCCTGCCTTGTTAAAATCTCATGCATCAAATTCCAGCAACAGGTTACTGAGACTGTTGATTGTTCCGGAAATTTTAGTAACATTAAAAACTGCCTTACAGCAAAAAGCAACACGTTACTGTGACGTTAATTGCGTTACTTTTGTAATGCGTTACTTCCAACACTGTTTAAGGCAGACAAAAGTTGCTGTCTTGATTAAGAAGCTGTTAAAATGCTAACCAATGTTAGCTAATTAATATATTAATCCACATGCTAGCATTAGCTAATGTACACCAGACCTACCCACCAAGGAAAATATTGGGCTGGAGGGCACACTTCGCCCCTCCGTACACTCGTGTTTGCTGTTTCCAAACAAGTATAACTACATTATGATTTAAAGTATGCTTATTTCTATATGTTGTTCTTTGTTAAGTAAACAACATGTGCTGCTTCCTTCCTGCCCTTACGAAAGAGGTCTCTGACCTCAACTAGCTATTTACCTGATTAAAAAATTTTTTTAAGAAAGAAATTAAAAAAAAGAAATAATATGCTTTTGAAAAATATATTTTAATGTTAAAAAATATATGTTTTAAAAATCATACTTCTGGAAATCAGGCTGAAACATGTGGCAATTACATAAATAATTACAATATTTTGCAGTAGCCTACACAATGAAGCATGTTTGGCATAAATATATTTTTAACCCACTAAAAGTGTAATTGTTTAACAATGTACTTCCACAAAGTACACCTAAATAGTATTTACTAAGAGTTAAATAAGTATATTTTTAATAAATAGACAAAAATTTTGTAAAAAATATACTTTTATTTAAGCATATTTATTAAAGGTTTAATTAAGTATATATTTATTACCAATTTATTCAAAGTATACTTTTGAGAAGTATATTAAAGCTCAGGAGAATATATCTTTAATATACTTGTAGTAAGCATGTTAGCATACTATGTGAATTTCAAGTATATTTTCAGTGCCTTTAAGAGCACTTCTTTTTGACCTGGGTACTGGGTTAAGGTCAGGTGCTTGACTTGGTCAGTCTAAAACCTTCCACTTTTTCCCCTGATGAAGTCCTTTGTTTTGTTGGCAGTGTGCTTTGGCTCATTGTCCTGCTGCATGATAAACTTTCTCCCGATTAGTTTCAATGCATTTCTCCGTAAATTGGCAGACAAAATGTATCTGTCCACTTCTGAATTCTGCTGCGACCATCATCAGTTACATCATCAATAAATATTAATGAGCCTGTTCCAGAAGCAGCCATGACATCACCTCCACCATGCTTCACAGATGAGCTTGGATGCTTCAGATCATAAGCAGTTCCTTTCTTTCTCCACACTTTGGCCTTTCCATCACTTTGACAGAGATTAATCTTGGTCTCATCAGTCCTTAAGATTGTGTTTCAGAACTTTTACGGACCATCTCTTTACTTCTTTGCAAATTTCACTTTGGCCTTCCTTCCGATTCTTCCTGCTGATGAGTGGTTTGCATCTTGTGGTGTGGCCTCTGTATTTCTGCTCAGTGGATTGTGATACCTTCACCCTGCACTCTGGAGGTCGTTGGTGATGTCACTTACTAATGTTTTGGGGGTTTTCTTCACTGATCTCACGATATTTCTGTCATCAACTACTGCTGTTTTCCTTGGCCGACCTGTTTGACGTCTGTTGCTCAGTACACCAGCAGTCTCTTTCTTTTTCAGGACATTCCAAATTGTTGTGCTTGCTATGCCCAGTATTTGTCCAATGGCTCTGGTTGATTTACCTTTTTTCTCAGCTTGACAATGGTTTGCTTTTCTCCCATAGACAGCTCTCTGGTCTTCATGTTGGTTTATCCTCTTTAACAGGAAATGCATTCTTTCTAGGTTTGAACCAAGGATGAAAACTTCAGCCAATCAGAACACAAGGCAACACCTGGGCAACAAGAAACATCTGTCAGTCACATGTTCCAATAGTTTTGCTCATTTGAAAAAATGGGTTGATTCAAACAAACGCTGGTATGTTCTGAGTTGTTTAACACATCTAGATGTGAATACCACAAAATGACAGCTGAAATTCTGAACTCTTGTCTCATACTCATCTTTTGATCTTAAACCCAAATGTCTTCAGTGAACAAAAAAAACAAATGAATTTGCCTCACCGTTCCAATACTTTTGGAGGAGACTGCATACTGTATCTTCCAGCTGAATCATGTTAGAGACAACAAACACACTCACAGTAACATTCTGCTTTTATTGGAACAAGAGCCAGAATTCAAAGCAACACATGACAGAAGGTCCAAGTCAACGGCATTTCCACCATTTAATGATCAGAGCTTCCATCTTTAAAGGACTGGAAGTGGAAGAAGTTTACAAGGAAATGAGGAATCTGTTCAATCACTTTGAATCACTTTGTACAAAGTTCATTGATGTATTTATTACAAGAAGCTTCTGTGATCCTGTACAGACTCAACTTATCTGTTCTCTACCAGGAGGAGACTCTCCCTCCTGCTCAGAACTCAGAGACACTGAGGAAGCAGGATTCCAGAGCCTAAAACCAGGATAAAGAGGTTCAGTGAATGTGGTGTTGAAGGTGTGGAGGTGGATCAGTGTGTCAGAGGAGACTCTGTAGAAGGACAGAGAGCCAGCAGGACAGTCCACATACACTGCTACTCTACCAGAGGAGGAGGAGGAGGAGGAGGAGGTGATGGAGGTTCCTTTGTTATTGTGCCAAACATGGTAACCATAACCATCAGAGTAGAACAAACTCCAGGACTGATCATTCCTTCCAAACCCACAGTCTTCACCTTGTTCCTTCCTGCTGATTCCTCTGTAACTCACTGCTATATCAATTCCTCCTCTCCACTCAACCTCCCAGTAACAGCGACCAGTCAGACCATCTCTACACAGCAACTGCCTCCAGTAGTCAAACCTGTCTGGATGATCAGGATATGACTGATCCTCCATCACACGTGTTGCCTTCCTGTTGTTGTCAGACAGTTTGATCAGTCTGTTTACTGTGTTTGTGTCGATTGTGAGTTCACAGGAATCTGATGGAGAGAACGAGACACAATCCAGCTGTAATAAGTATCGATTGACACTTCGACGATGACATCAGAACTTTGAATGAGTGATGTCACAGTCTGAAGATGGTTGAATGTTTTCATGAATCAAATGAAAAACACACTTACACTTCCTCAGACCTGGTCTCAACCATTGGACTCCAGCAGGCTCCACCCTGAAAGGAGGAGGGGGGTCAGACCAGCATCAAACATGGACATTACATTCCTCTCATACACATATACACAATATATGCCCCCCCTCTCAAAGAGCTTGTCACTTCTCCTCCTTCCTCAAACAATTGCTTTATAATGGAATGTTTTTTGTTCACACTTTTAGAGCTAATTTAATGTTCATGTTACAACCTGATGGACATGACATTCCTATATATCCTAATATGCATATACATAATAAGTGCATCATTATATGTGTCACTCCTCATCCACCTCACAGTGGTTTGCTCCGCTACCTACCTTTTTCAGACCCTCACAGACTTTATTTCTAAAAAGCCCCTGGCAACAGATCTAGTGAGTTATTCAGACAAAGGTATGGCCAAAAATGTTATCAAGATAAAAAGTTTCATATCTTTCGATATCGATAATTATCACGATAAGTATCAAATTGTTATTTCCTTCGAGTTTAAAGGCTGATTTTTGCTCCTGAGTGAAAGTTGAAGAAACCTGATGGTTAATTGTGGTTTAAACTCTTCTTAATGCTCAGAACATGACAAACACTTGAGTGGATCACTTCATAAATGTGAGGTAGAACATTTAAACAATTATGATCAATTCTTTTTCAACAAATATGCATGAGCAAAATTAAATAAAAGCTTTTTTCAGTCCTTTTTCCTCAACAAAATAAACATCTTAATAAAAGAATGAAGTCCAAATTTCTGTAGGATTCAAGTGAATAAAATCAAACATTAATTGAAAATTTATTGAACATTTGTTATATTGTTATTGAAAAAAATTATATTGCGATAATGATTGTTATTGTTTTACTGTCGAGCCCTAATTCAGACCATCGGGGGGAAAGTGAGAAAAATACAAAAGTCTGTTATAATATCAGCCAATTTATCCCCCTGCATGCTGATCTGAGTATCTCCCTCTCCTCACGCACCATGTTTCAGAAGTGACTCTGTCTCTGTCGCACACACGTAAAGGCTAAAATCCGCTGACTCCAGCTATGAAGCATTATGGCTGTGGAAAATAAAACACCCTGTGGAGACTCCCTATCGTAAAATAACAAACGCAGTTAAAACGGACACAAAACAAAATCTTTTAACTACGTTGCCTGCTTAATCATAGTAGAAGCACAAAATCAAACACTGATTACCAAATCAACAAAATCTAAACATGTCACCAAAGTCAGGCAGACAAAATGTTCTGTTTCTGAAATTTTACTTGTGGGAAATGCAAGTTGACGGAACGAAACGGGGTCACATAGAGTGAAGAAGGCAGTACAAGCACGAAAATGACAAATTAATAAGTCAATAACGTGGGGCAGGCTGCATGTTCCGCTGCTGAAATGCTTCTGAGACGCTTCTAGTGGACTTTGACGCTGGGCTATGGGCACATCAAAACCGTGGCACAGCCGTAACCGGAGTCAGTGGACTCCCAGAGTGAGAAACACAATTGGGAGCTATTTTAGGTGTGGACATTCTTGTTCTTGTAACAGTGTATGTCTCTGTCCTGCACTTGGTCTGTAACATTTTTGAATGTGATACTTGTTGCTACTCTCACCAGAGAAAAATATTCAGCAGTCCACATGAAGAGAGTGTATGACTACTGTTAATGTTAACTGAAGTACGTAGTTATTTTAACCCAAACCATGATTTTTTCCTAACCTTAACCAAGTAGTTTTGTTGGCTAAACCCAACCAAGTAGTTTCTGTGCCTAAACCTAACCAAACTGCAACGTTTCACTACAATAACGTAACCCTCTCAACTCATGCTTCACGCTTGGAAAAAGTTTTGTACCCTGCACTATAAGACCTCTCACAGACAAGTTAATGATGTCACTTTTGTGCTATGTGTAGATATGTGTATACTGTCCATATATGTGTGTACTATGTGTAGTTTGTGTCTAGAATTCATATTGATGGTGCTCTTTGTTCAGACTGTGAAAGCAAATTTCCTCCACTGAGGGCAATAAAGAATGAATCTGAATCTGACCCAGGGCATTAAAAAGCGACGCCAAAGGGCCTTGACCAAGCGTCAGTAGGTGACGAGTTGGGAATGAGAACTTGTTGTACCAACAGGCAATTATCATGTTTAATCTTTGAGATGTTCTTCTACACAAAGATGTCCTTTTTATTGTTTTACCATTAACCAAAAACACCAAAAGTCTGTCTGTGGCTGAAGCAGGCTTCTTCATACCTGAGAGTGTCCAGTCTCAAGTGTGGATCCTCCAGGCTAGCAGACAGCAGCTTCACTCCTGAGTCTCCTGGATGATTGTAGCTCAGGTCCAGCTCACTCAGATGGGAGGGGTTGGAGCTCAGAGCTGAGGTCAGAGAAGCACAGCCTTCCTCTGTGATCAGACAGCCTGAAAGTCTGCAAACACACAAACAAACACACACACAGGAACCCTCTGAGAACAAAAACAAGTTAAAGGTCCTTCTCAAATCATATTAGCAGACACATGCACTCACCTAAAGGATTATTAGAAACACCTGTTCAATTTCTCATTAATGCAATTATCTAATCAACCAATCACATGGCAGTTGCTTCAATGCATTTAGGGGTGTGGTCCTGGTCAAGACAATCTCCCGAACTCCAAACTGAATGTCAGAATGGGAAAGAAAGGTGATTTAAGCAATTTTGAGCGTGGCATGGTTGTTGGTGCCAGACGGGCCGGTCTGAGTATTTCACGATCTGCTCAGTTACTGGGATTTTCACGCACAACCATTTCTAGGGTTTACAAAGAATGGTGTGAAAAGGGAAAAACATCCAGTATGCTGCAGTCCTGTGGGCTAAAATGCCTCGTTGATGCTAGAGGTCAGAGGAGAATGGGCCGACCGATTCAAGCTGATAGAAGAGCAACTTTGACTGAAATAAGCACTCGTTACAACCGAGGTATGCAGCAAAGCATTTGTGAAGCCACAACACGCACAACCTTGAGGCGGATGGGCTACAACAGCAGAAGACCCCACCGGGTACCACTCATCTCCACTACAAATAGGAAAAAGAGGCTACAATTTGCAAGAGCTCACCAAAATTGGACAGTTGAAGACTGGAAAAATGTTGCCTAGTTTGATGAATCTCGATTTCTGTTGAGACATTCAGATGGTAGAGTCAGAATTTGGCGTAAACAGAATGAGAACATGGATCCATCATGCCTTGTTACCACTGTGCAGGCTGGTGGTGGTGGTGTAATGGTGTGGGGGATGTTTTCTTGGCACACTTTAGGCCCCTTAGTGCCAATTGGGCATGGTTTAAATGCCACGGCCTACCTGAGCATTGTTTCTGACCATGTCCATCCCTTTATGGCCACCATGTACCCATCCTCTGATGGCTACTTCCAGCAGGATAATGCACCATGTCACAAAGCTCCAATCATTTCAAACTGGTTTCTTGAACATGACAATGAGTTCACTGTACTAAAATGGCCCCCACAGTCACCAGATCTCAACCCAATAGAGCATCTTTGGGATGTGGTGGAACCGGAGCTTCGTGCCCTGGATGTGCATCCCACAAATCTCCATCAACAGCAAGATGCTATCCATCAATATGGGCCAACATTTCTAAAGAATGCTTTCAGCACCTTGTTGAATCAATGCCACGTAGAATTAAGGCAGTTCTGAAGGCGAAAGGGGGTCAAACACAGTATTAGTATGGTGTTCCTAATAATCCTTTAGGTGAGTGTATATCCTATACAGGTTAGCTGTTTATCCACTGATGTAAAAGAAAACTTAAATGGTCATTCATTAATTGTGTTGAGGAATCCTGACCTAAGGGTTTCCAGTGTGCACTGTGGACTCTCCATTCTAGCAGAGAGCAGCTTAACTCCTGAATCCTGCAGGTTGTTGTTACTCAGGTCCAGCTCTCTCAGACTAGAGGACTGGGAGCTGAGAACTGAGGACAGAGCTTCACAGCTTCTCTCTGAGAGGTTACAGCCACTCAGTCTGGAGAGGGAATAACAAGAAAAGAAATAACATTTATTTTAAAATGCTTGCTTCTTTAATTTAAATACATTTTTGGTTATTGGTTATTATTACATTTTCATATATGCAAAAAAGCTTACAATAAGACATAATTTCATGTTGGGACAGAGGATCAAACTATCATTCTTACTAGCAGGCAACCCACAGTGTGCACAGTTATACAGTGTACCTTTGTGTTACAGTACATCAGCTGTGGTTTTGTGTACTCCAATACAAAGATGAAGTCCAAATTCAGGTAAATTATCAGGCTTAACAGCACTCACAAGTACTGACTTATCCCATTTATATATTGCCATTTAGATTAATCCATTTAACAGAAACCGCATGACTTCATTCTTTTCAATGAAGGTCTTTCATATTGGCCCTTCTTTCTGATGGAGGTAGTTTCCTGCTGATTGGAAGATTTGATCCTTGTTTGGCTAATTTTTAGTCTTATATTAAGATGCACATTCATAAGTTCAACTCAATGAAGTGAAATACTAACTTTAAGGAAGTCTACCTTGAGTTTTCATTGCTTGTAATAAGCACAACTTGCTTAAATGTATGCTAATTGTCCAGTTCTAAGGTCCATGTCAGTAAAGAATCTAGCCAAGCAAATTTGGCTTACCCCATTTTGCTAAATACAACATTTAACAATAATAATGTAAGAATACTTGGGGTTTTCTAGGAGGGCTGTTTTTGCAGTGTATAACACACACACACACACACATATATATATATATATATATATATATATATATATATAGTTGAAGTTGTGTAAATAGTCTTCTTATTGTTCCTGTGCTGGTACATCATACAAACAATTGTTGTAACTTGTTACTGGTTAAATGTAGCTCAATATAGGCTTTAATATTAACAAAACATGATTTAATTTATGCAAAACAAAGTCAAAATTTTCAGAAACAAGACTTGTTAACTATCTTGAGATTCCTTTCTTCCAGAGTAGTAATCAAATGACATGATGTCAAAAATCACTATGATTCTCCATCTCTGTCAAAGTTATTATTTCATGCTAAACAACATATGATATCGGAATTAGAACAAAATACAGGCCAAACATGATCACAGCTTCTGTCTGAGAAGTTATACAGACTCAGTCTGGAGAGACCAACAAGTAACGCCTTTATTTTTTCTGCAGCTGAAAGATAGCATAGTAATGAATGAATGAATTAATGAATAAATCCTACTTACAGAGCTTTCTTGGAGGCTTTGACCACTGGCAGCAGCCTTAGAAGAGCCTCCTCTGAAGCAGAATATTTCTTCAGGTCAAACACATCCAGATCTGTTTCTGATGACAGTAAGATGAAGACCAGAGCTGACCACTGAGCAGGAGAGAGTTTATCTGTGGAGAGACTTCCTGAATTCAGGGACTGTTTGATCTGATCCACTAGAGAACCATCATTCAGTTCATTCAGACAGTGGAACAGATTGATGTTTTTCTCTGCAGAGGTAGTCTCTTTGATCTTCTTCTTGACGTACTTGGCCGCTACCTGATTGGTTCTTGAGGCACTTACTGTCTGTGTCAGCAGTCCTCGTAAGAGAGTCTGATTGGTCTGCAGTGAAAGTCCCAGGAGGAAGCGGAGGAACAAGTCCAGGTGTCCATTTGGACTCTGTAAGGCCTTGTCCACAGCACTCTGGTAGAACTGTGTCACTGCAGATTCATCTTCTCTTGTTTCAGACTTCTGGGAGGTTGTTTGTTCTTCTGCCAGCAGATTGACACCAGAGTTGATGAAGGTCAGATGGACATGAAGAGCAGCCAGAAACTCCTGAACACTCAGATGGACGAAGCAGAACACCTTGTCCTGGTACAGCCCTCTCTCCTCTTTAAAGATCTGTGTGAACACTCCTGAGTACACTGAGGCTGCTCTGATATCGATGCCACACTCTATCAGGTCTGATTCATAGAAGATCAGGTTGCCTTTCTGCAGCTGCTCAAAAGCCAGTTTTCCCAGAGACTCAATCATCTTCCTGCTCTCTGGACTCCAGTGTGGATCTGTCTCAGCTCCTCCATCATACTTGATGTTCTTCAGTTTGGACTGAACCACCAGGAAGTGGATGTACATCTCAGTCAGGGTCTTGGGCAGCTCTCCTCCCTCTCTGGTCTTCAACACCTCCTCCAGAACTGTAGCAGTGATCCAGCAGAAGACTGGGATGTGGCACATGATGTGGAGGCTTCGTGATGTCTTGATGTGGGAGATGATTCTGCTAGCCTGCTTCTTATCTCTGAACCTCTTCCTGAAGTACTCCTTCTTCTGTGGGTCAGTGAATCCTCTGACCTCTGTCACCATGTCAACACACCCAGGAGGGATCTGATTGGCTGCTGCAGGTCATGTGGTTATCCAGAGGCGAGCAGAGGGAAGCAGGTTCCCCCTGATGAGGTTTGTCAGCAGCACATCCACTGAGGTGGACTCTGTAACATCAGTCAGGACCTCATTGTTGTGGAAGTCCAGAGGAAGTCGACACTCATCCAGACCGTCAAAGATGAAGACAACCTGGAACTCTTCAAAGCTGCAGATTCCTGCTTCTTTGGTTTCAGGAAAGAAGTGATGAACAAGTTCCACCAAGCTGTACTTTTCCTCTTTCAGCACATTCAGCTCTCTGAAAGTGAATGGAAATGTGAACTGTATGTCCTGGTTGGCTTTGTCTTCAGCCCAGTCCAGAGTGAACTTCTGTGTTAAGACTGTTTTCCCAATGCCAGCCACTCCCTTTGTCATCACTGTTCTGATTGGTTCATCTCTTCCAGGTGAGGCTTTAAAGATGTCTTCTTGTCTCTGAAGGTTGTTTCTGGTCTGTCTGGTTTCCTGGATGCTGTTTCAATCTGTCTGACCTCATGTTCATCATTGACCTCTGCAGTCCCTCCCTCTGTGATGTAGAGCTCTGTGTAGATCTGGTTCAGAAGGGTTGGGTTTCCTGCTTTAGCAATCCCCTCAAACACACACTGGAACTTCTTCTTCAGGTTAGATTTAAGTTTTTGCTGACAAACTGGAAAAGAAGGTCCTGAACAAACAGAAAAGATCAATAAGTGATTGATAAAGTCCATATGATAGTTTCATTTCCTTATATAAATATGTTTCCCTCCATCTGCTGAGCCATCAGTAATCCGTTTATCCAGCAGCTTAAATCTTTAGAGAAATCCTCTTACCGCTCTGCAGACGCTCAGCCAGCTCCTCCTGCTTCATTCTCCTCAGGAAGTGCAGTGTGATCTTCAGAAATGCCTCCCTGCTGCTCCTCCTCCTCTGCTCTTCCTCCTCACCGTCCAACACCTCCTCATCCTCCCTCTGACTCTCTAAGCATTCTGGGTAATCTGAACTCAGACCCTTCTGGATCTTCTTCAGCTCGTTCTTCACAAAAGTGACAATGTTCTCCTCCAGCAGCTGGAACAGAATATTATATGAAGGACACAATCAAAGTCAAATCATGGAACCAAACATCAGATCCATGTTGGACAGACTGACAATCCACTGGTCTAAAAAGTGCAGCGTGGAGATTATTGTGAACAGAATAGATGGAAAAGTAGTTGTTGTACATGTACAGACCATAAATATGGAGTCCAGGTGTGTTTGATGCTGCTGGGCAGACTGACCACTGGGAACCTCTGAGCTCTCCTGGTGGACTCTGTGGAGGAATCATGAAGATTATTATGTCTGTCCTCACCAGTGTTGGACAGTAACGTATTACTGTAATATTACGTTTTCCCAGTAACTAAGTAGTGTAACTAATTACTTTTCTAAAACGGTAATATTATTACTAGTTACTAAGGCAAGTAACGCTGCGTTACTCATTACTGAACGCACCATCCTTGATGTAAATCCACGATTGTGCGACAGCTCAGCGGGACTGGACTTTGTTGTTAATGTCCGCTGACAGCCAAACACAAAAGGAAGAATGGACAACGAGGGAGAGAGGCGTTCTTTCCACAGCTGTAAGTAGATACTGCCATTACTGTTTCATAAACTAAAAAGAAGAATCCATGACAACCCAGAGTTGAGACCAGGAGGCAGAGTCGCAGTTTAACACACTTCTCTGCCCTTCTTTTTCAGCAGTTACCCACCCAAAACCCTACGCAGAGTCGCAGTCTAACACACTTCTCTGCTCCTCCATTTCAGGAGTTACTTAGTGAAAATCCTATAGTGACGGTGTCTGCCCCCCGACCATCGAAATTATTTAAAAAGGTAAGCAGAAGAGGAGCTGTGCATAGAAACCTCATAAAAATTAAAACCACAAGAGCAATAGTGCAAACGAATAGGAGAGTTAAATGTGGACTCTTAAACATCAGATCTCTCTCTTCTAAAGGTGTACTAGTAAATGAACTAATATCAGATTATGATATTGATTTATTTTGTCTTACTGAAACCTGGCTGGGCGATGGAGAATATGTTAGCCTAAATGAATCCACCCCTCCCAGTCATATTAATACTCACATTCCTCGAGGCACAGGCCGAGGAGGTGGAGTTGCAGCTATCTTCGACTCTAGCCTACCTAATCAGCTCTAAACCTAAACTAAACTATAACTCATTTGAAAGTCTTGTTCTTAGTCTTTCACACCCAAGTTGGAAATCACTGCAACCAATTCTTTTTGTTATAGTGTACCGAGCACCTGGCCCGTATTCTGAATTCTTATCTGAATTTGCAGAGTTTTTGTCAACTTTAGTCCTTAAAACGGACAAAGTTATTATTGTAGGGGATTTTAATATTCATGTGGATGTTGAGAATGACAGCTTCAGTACTGCGTTTATCTCTCTGTTAGATTCCATCGGCTTCTCTCAGAGTGTTCATGAACCGACTCACTGTTTTAACCACACCCTCGACCTTGTTTTGGTGTATGGTATTGAAATTGAACATTTAGTGGTGTTCCCGCAGAATCCCTCTTTATCCGACCACTGTTTGATAACTTTTGAGTTTGTATTGCTGAACTACAAGATGTCTGTCTGATAGTGCCATAGCTAAATTTAAGGATGCGATTCCATCAGCTCTAAATACATTATCTAGTCACAAAGTAACGGAGGACTCCTATGCTAATTTCAGTCCCTCCCAAATCGATCATCTTGTTGATAGTGCTGCAGGCTCGCTGCGAATGACACTCGACTCTGTAGCCCCTCTAAAAAAGAAAATACTAAAACAAAGACGGTTAGCTCCATGGTATAATACTGAAACTCGCAAATTACAGCAAATATCGTGGAAACTTGAGAGGAATTGGCGTTCCACCAAACTGGAAAATTCTCGTTTAATTTGGCAAGATAGTCTTAAAACTTATAGGAAGGCCCTCCGTAATCCTAGATCAGCGTACTACTCAGTTATATCTATCGATCAAGCCAGATCAAACTCATCAGTTAGCTAAACTCAAATGTGCCTTCAGGATGTTAAAACCTGGATGACCTGTAATTTTCTAATGTTAAACTCAGATAAAACTGAAGTTATTGTTCTGGGGCCTCCAGCACCACTGTGAGGAATCTTGGAGTTATCTTTGATCAGGACACGTCGTTTAAGACTCACATTAAGCAAATTTCAAGGATTTCACCTACGTAATATTACGAAAATCAGGAAAATTCTGTCAAAAAATGATGCAGAAAAACTAGTCCATGCATTTGTTACTTCTCGGCAGGATTACTGCAATTCTTTATTATCAGGCTGCTGGAAAAAGTCTGTTAAGACTCTTCAGCTGATCCTGAATCCAGGTTCCTAGAGTCTCCAAAAGTAGACTAGGAGCCAGAGCGTTCAGCTATCAAGCTCCTCTCCTGTGGAACCAGGTTCCAGTTTGGGTTCAGGAGGCAGACACCATCTCCACATTTAAGAGTAGGCTTAAGACTTTCCTCTTTGATAAAGCTTATAGTTAGGGCTGGCTCAGGTGAGTCCTGAACCATCCCTTAGTTATGCTGCTATAGGCCTAGACTGCCGGGGGATTTCCCATGATGCACTGAGCTCCTCTCTCCTCTACTTTCTCTCCCTCTGTATGCAACCTTATCCCATTATTGCATGTTACTAACACAACTTCTCCCCTTTCTGGTAGTCTTGTGCTTTCTCGTCTCTCTCCTCTCTCCTATCACTTCCTGCAGGTTTTCTGGCTCTGGAGCTGTGGAGTCTGGATCTGTGGTTGCGGGTCACCTGCTGCCCCCGTGTTCCTGCTCGACACCCTCTGCTGCAACAACTATTGTTGCTAGTCCTATTGTTATTATTGTTATTATAATCATTAACATTACGACTGTTACCATTAACACTATTATAAATATCTGTACCATTTTTCATTTAGTCTATAGCAACATCACCTTCACTGTCTGTACCTCTGTGTGTATATTGTGTAGGCTGCCTCCCTCCTCTCTCTCTCTCTCTCTCTCTCTCTCCTTACATCCCTCTCTCTCTCTCTCTCTCTCTCTCTCTCTCTCTCTCTCCTTACATCCCTCTCTCTCTCTCTCTCTCTCTCTCTCGGCCGCCCACCCTGAGTCATGGTTCTGCTCGAGGTTTCTGCCTCTTAAAGGAAGTTTTTCCTTGCCTCTGTCTCCTAGTGCTGCTCTTGGTGGGAACTGTTGGGCTTCTGTAAATATCATCACAGAGTACGGTCTAGACCTGCTCTTTATGAAAAGCGCTGTGAGATAACTGTTGTGATTTGGCGCTATATAAATAAAATTGAACTGAATTGAATTGAATTAAGATGCAAAGAACATTGTTTCATTGTTAAACTTTCAACCGCGAACATTTCTACATCTGATTTATTGAAGCATCTGCAGAAGCAGCACAGCGACGTGAAACTTGTAGAAAGAAACTCAGGCAGTGACTCATTGGGAGAGAGAGGTGTTAACGTAACGTTTTGTAACTACTGAATACTGCTCTTATAAATAGGCTACATGTGCAGTAAAACCACTGTTTAAAAGTTGGGCTTTACTTGCTTTATTGTTTTATTTCAGCCGGTGGCGTTAAGAAACGTTAGGCCTAGGCTATGCTTTGTAAAAACCACACTCTTTGCTGCTTTTATGGATATGATGTTAGTTAAAAAGTCGTGAGAGATCGCTTTGTTTCGGTGTGAAGGGGGGTGTTAGGGAAAGCAGTGTATAATTTGGATAATTATCGACGCGGACCGCCGCGTTTATTTTCCTAATTTTCACTAGGTGTATTTAAAATAATTTAAGGAGCTGTATTGAGGAGCATATATTCCTGCAGCACCTCCTGGCTCGCTCGCTCACTCCCTCTTTCTCTCTCTCTCTCTCCCTCTCTCTCATGAACACCTGTCAAACATTAGAATAACCCCCACAAGCCACGAGCTGAAGACTAGTTCTACTGGTTCTACTGGTTCTACTGGTTCTACTGGGCAGCTTCAGATGTGAGAATATAAATGTATGTGAAGAAGAACGATGCTGAAAATAAACACACAGGTTTAATAAAACTTCTCTGGATGAATAACAGTTAAACAAGAATCAGTCTGATTTTAATGTGATTAACAGCTGACCTCTCTGCAGCAGACGGTCGGCCTCCTTTAAAACGCATGGTGTGACCCACTGAGTGGTCACTCTTGAAAGACCAACGGCTGGGTTCAGGTTCACGTCCAGCAAAGTCGGGTCTCCCATTGATCCTGTTAGACAGAAAAGGAGACCACCTGGGAAGAAAACCTAATTTTTAGCCTTCAGCCACAGACGCTTCTGGAGAAACTGGCAGCTCTCAACAAGAAAAGGATCAAAGTTCACTAAAAGCTGAAGCTGAATGATTTCAGTCTGTGTATCATCGCTTCATTTCCAGCAAATATTGGACCAAACCAGGACTAAATGTTCTGATCTCTGAGCAGATCTTACTGTTCCTGACAGATACCAAACTTAACTGTGGCTCCATCAGCAGCAGCTCTGTTGGCCTGTATTCTAACGTTTGCATTACTAGACTCACCACAAATATCCTGACTGCTATTTACAGACTTTGGTAGGTGAAGCATTTTAGGACAAAATCCAAAGAGGAAGTTTCAGACTAAAAAGAGCTGAACTTGATTTGTGGAACTCAGACTGCTGAAGCCTCATATTGTCCTCAGCTCAACTTTCCAATGTCTTTTTCCACAGAAGCAGGACTGTGGACTCTGTCCTCCATCACTTCCATTGAAACCCCATCAGGAAGAGATCTCTTCAGGGCCAGTGTGCACAGGAGGAACAATTCCAGCCACCAACAACTCTTTCAGTGGACATATGGGCATGTCAGTGTTGTTTAGGGACAGACTGGAAAACATGTGGACCTGTCCTTTAATCCTAATCTGGCTCTGACCTTCATCATCATTCTAGGAGAACATGGACATTAGAAGGACAACTGGTCAGACTGGATTTAATGAGGACAAACATCAGCAGTGAGCAACATGAGGAGGGAGACATGAACATTTAGCTCTGATTGGCCAACGCTGTTTAATACTGACACATACTCACTGTCTGTCAGACACATGTCCTCGCTTAAAAGTAAAGGGTTGACCCATTGACCGGTCACTCTTGAAGGACACACAGCTGGGCTCAGGTCCAGGTCCAGGTCCAGCAGAGTCTGGTCCCTGCTGCTGCTCTGGGCTTCAACACAACACACACAGAGCTTTGAGAGTGAATAATGATGGTGGAGTGATTTGAGTCCTGGACAGTTAGAGATCCTCATCTCACCTCTGAGCTTTGGTCTGGCTGTCATGTTCCCCACACAGAGTGCTTTTAGAGGGAGGGACTCCCTCCTCTCTGTCCTCACACTGACTCATGCTGCTCAACTCACATCCACTTTCACCTGGAGAGGAAACACAAATCATTCATCTGCACATCAACTCAAATCCTCCTTTCCATCATTCCCTCCTGGAAAAAGATCGGCTGCTCCTCCACTGATTGGCTGCTAGTTTCTGTTTCATATCAGCTGCAGCTGAATGCAGTCAGACAGCAGCGTGAGGCAGAGGAAGCTGCCATCAGCTGCTGGACTTCTACTATCAGTCCACTAGATGGAGGCATGAAGCTGCAGCCCAGCACACACACCTGCATGGAGGACCCGGACACATTCAATTCAATTTCAGGTCTGCCAGGAAACGTCAGGATCCTGCTGTGTCTGACTTTACACCGGTGGAGACGACGCTTTGAAAAGCACGATGTAGTTTGTTTTCTGCCAGCTGAAGAAAGGAAAGAAACATCAGCTGTTCATCAGATTGTTAATAATCCAGCAACATGGAGATTTCTCTTCAAACACAAGAGTTCTCCAAACTCTCTCCTGAAATAAGAAGTCAACAACTACAACAAACAGACAGCAAGAAACAAACCCTGAAGGGACTAAAGACAAACTTGGAAGACAAAGCAACTTCCAGTTTCTTCAAAGTGTTGGAAAAGAAGACTCTGGCCCAATCCTAATGTCCACCCTCACAGACTTTGAGGCGCGTTCCCGGGAAGTCCGTGAGGGCTCAGGGCCGTCCCACTGTCAAATTGTCAAGTACGCGAGGGCTCTCCGCATTTCTGCAGACTTTGGCTGAGGGAATTACCCACAGTGCATAGCGGTATGACGTGAAACACGGGGATTACCAGGGGAAGCGAGAAAGCGAGAGAAATATCACGGCAAATCCACGTTATAAGAGAAGAAGAAAACAGTAAACAAACAAGCATCGACAACAACGCTGATGTTAATACTGTTGAAGGTTTTCTTAACTTAAGAATAGAACACATGAAGTCAGAGGAATGCAACCATCTTATTACACACCTAGTTTATTCAACTACTTATTTTAGTTTTTGCATTTACCTCTCGTCCACTCTGTAGGGCGAGAGCCTGCAGGACTTAAAAAGAAGGCAAAAATATAAAATAAAAAGTGTGCAACATATTAAGTGGCAAAGGGTTGTCCCGTTCCCGTTCACATCATTGTGAGCCCCTGCAGCCTCTTAAACTCAATCACTTTCCAAGGGACCCCAGTAAAGTCTGTGAGGGTTCAGGGCTTAGGGGGGACATTGGGATGGGGCCTCTCACTGGACGCCTACAGAGAAAAGGCGTCTACTATTCAAAGTCACTGTAACTTACATTTCCAGCTAAACTGAGTCTCTCTGCTTGCCTGCCATTCAAAAGTTACGAAGCAAACAGCGGCAGATCTGACATTAGCTGGCTGTTCCTGTCTTGCATCACTGTAGGATAGCAGACACAAATCGCTCCACATTTGCTTTGTACCATTACATAATTTCTTGCAGGCTAGCTGGTGAAATCGTGTGGACAGCAATACAGCAGTAGTATTTTGATAACGTTAGCAACTGGTCGGCGTTCAAAGTTAAAGTCATCTAACTTTAGCCAACTAAAGCACAAAATCACAATATATTTCACGTGCCTTGCAGTAATGTTAGTTTACCTTAGTTTGCCAACACTGTGTCTGTTTTGTCAGTTCAAAACAAAGCTGATGCTGACGTGTTTTCACCCGAAATCTATCTGATTCTGATTTGGCCTGACAAATATACTTTGTTGTTGTTACCTGAAAACTGGTTTTCCTGCGTTCCACAGCTGACGACAAGTTAACAAGCCTTTAGCTGAAGCAGAGAGAGGCTTGGTTTGTTGGCACCACTTCAGTTGTTGTTTTTACAGTGGAGGTGACTCAAAGCACACTAGGAAACATTCATGTGAAATGGTGCATAAATACCTTTAAGCTTCACAATTTGAACGGCTGCCATCTTATAAATGACAGTAAACTTATTCAGTGTATCTCCAACATCAGGCAAATAATTCATTTTCATATAGTAATTTTACATTCAATGGTCTGATTCTTTTCTTTTCTTCCCTAAACCCACTCCCAGACTTGACAGAAAATAAGACAAATTCTGCAGATCTTTGACATTAGGTCTGGATTCACGAGTCATTTACTGCTGCTAAACCAAGTCCACAGACGCAAAACTAAAATGATCCTGGTTCTTATGAGTGTTTTTCTGAAAGGAACAGATCAATAAGATCCGGCTCCTCCAAAGAGCTGATCCCCATCACTATTTTCAAAGGTAAAAACATCAGACTCACTCAGCTTGTTCCTGTGGATGTCCGTCAGATCAGCAGCTTGATGGTGTCTCCTCCACTCAGTCTGTAAAAAGAGAGAACTGCTGATTTATTTTAAGGTGACTCCACCCATTAACAGTCATGTGACTGCAGCTGCTGTCTCACCATCATAACGTCTTCATCAAAGCATACAGTCTGACTGGTCTGAAGGCACAAACAAAGGCAATTCCAGAGAAACCAGTTCACCTGGTATTTGTGTCTGGAAAACTGTGCCATATAACAGTCTACAGTGAGATGCAACATTTCTACTAATCTGTCCTACTCTACTTTAGGCTCAACAGGTGTTTCATACATTTCTCTCTCACTGCTGGTGAGAGAGGTTTAGTTGTTCTGAGCGCAATGAGTCATATTCTATATAAGACAATGACTTCTATCACCTGGTTATTTTTAACAGTGTGTCCGTCACCAGTCCATCAAGCTCCTGTCTGAGGATGACACCACCATCATTGGTGGGGATGAGTCCGCCTACAGGTGGAGCATGTATATATATACTGAAATAACCCACTAACAGGTATTATCGAAACTTCTCCAGTCAAACTAGCGTGTTCATCATTGTTACAAGTTTATCACCACAAGCTTGGCTTTCTGTTTGTTTCATCTTCTGATATCCTTTAACACCTTTAACACATTATTATTTGGCAAACAGCAGGCCAAAAAAAAAATTCTTCAGACAGATGCTGTCGAATATGCCACAATAACTGATATGTTTGCTACCGGGGCTGCAGTAGCTTCAACATCAGCTGCAGTTTCCGACATTGTGTAACTACACGGCACTTGAAGGAGTAAAGTATAGCCGTGGCCAGTAAAAAGTAAAAGTACAGATACCACATGAAAAATGTTACTCATGTAAAAATAAAAGTTATCCAGTGGCGATGATGCAGTGGATAAGACACATGCCTTTGGTGTGAGAGACCCGGGTTCAATCCCTCACTTGTGACACATCCACCAATGTGTCCCTGAGACACATACCCTTAGTTGCTCCAGAGGCGTGCGACCTCTGTCATATATAGCAGCTGTAAGTCGCTTTGCATAAAAGCATCAGCTAAATGAGTAAATGTAAACAAACCTACTCAAGTAAAAAAGTACCTGCTAGGCAAGTTTATTTGTATAGCACATTTCAACAACGAGGTGATTCAAAGTGCTTTACATAAAACATAAAAGCAACAGGGAAATATAAAAAAGTTTAAAAGCAACATAGGAAAATTTAAATAAATATTTAATTAAAAATATAATAAAAGTTACAGTGCAGTGTTACAATCAGGGTTAAAAGAGTTAAATGGAAAATAAAAACAGGCTGAGGGGTTGAGCAAATAATTGAGTTACGATTATTCTGAAAAGAGAATAAACAGAGAAGTACACTTAATCTACTCTCTCTAGCTAGGCTGTACTCGGGTCCACAGCAATCTTTAGGCCCACTGAAACTCCAAAAACCCTCGGACACTACAGAGAAACCAGGACACGTCTGTCCGCAGGCCACTTTGATCCAGTTATACTCTGGACCCACCTGCGCGTTTACAGGTGGACAGAGGTTCCTGCAAATCACTCAGGCGTGAGATTTAAGACCACTTCCTTCACTCTGTTCAATCTCACTCCCATTATGTTTTCACTCAATTACCTACTCATTTCTCACCGTGTAAATATTTAATTAAAATTAATTAAATTAAAAGCAATGGTAAAAAGCTAAAAACACAGAAAAAGAAAACAGGACAGTAAAAGTTACAGTGCAGTGTAAGTTATCAATAAAAAGAAAATCATAAATATTTAATTAAAAGCAGTGGTAAAAAGAAAAGTCTCCAGTCTTAATTTAAAAGAACTGACAGTTTCAGCAGACCTGCAGTTATCTGGGAGTTTGTTCCAGATATATGGAAAAGTACTACACATTCAAATCTATTGATCTTATAAAACAAAATCTATCTTCACTTAAGACTGGTTTAAATACAGCATTATAAGTTATAGTAGATCACAATAAGGAAAACTGAGGGCGTACTCACACTAGGCCCAGTTGCCTTGTACCGTGCCCAAGCACGATTATCCCCCCTCCCCACTCCCCCGCTGGCCTGCTCTTACACAGCATGAGCCGGAGGACATTTACATCTTCACTCATTCCCATACATTGATTTGTTTGTGACGGCCCGAGACAGTATCAATGCCACATATTGATATGTTCCTATTTAAATCCTATTTAAAATCGTAGTTGATTGCAGAGTGCTGCGCATATATTCGCGCAGTACCTTCTCTCTCTCTCATGAACACAGCTGCACAAATATGTCCAACACAACTGTCAATGTCGGAGAACCACCTTAAAAAGGTTATTAGCAAGCATGTAAGGAGCCTAGCTAATAAGGAGACCTGTGTTAACGTTAGATCACAGCAAGGTTGTTGAGCTAAGCACACTTTACATAGCTGGAAGTCAATATCAATGGTCATTCTATGGGAAGCACTGCACTCTTTTGAAAACAAAAGCGTCTCTCGCATGGCACAGTGAAGTTTGTGTTGGGGTTCGGCACGGCACGGAACGATCACACTGTTCAAACGAACTGGACTTTGTGGGTTAAACGTGCTCGGGCACGGTACGGATCGCCTAGTTTCGGTACACCCTGAGTCGCAAGAGAATAAGTTGATATTTCCTATTTGTGGGGAGGATAAGCCTGCGATATTGCACTAACATTTCATATCATCTTTCACAGGTTAACAAAATTGTGTTTAATAAAAAATTATCTTGTCTGATAGACGATACAACTGTTGTTTTTATTGAATCGTATTCATCTTCAGCCAATACAAAATAGACTATAACAGAACATGACAACTATATCCACAGGGGGATCACAAAACAAGAAAAATAGTTAAGTCTTTATACATTTGAACTATTTTAAATTATTCAGACTATATAATGCTTCAATATAATGTATGATTTATTTAGAAATGTTGTATTTGTAAATTTAATATTTTCATATAAAGATAGAGGTTCAAATACACTTATAGGCTTTTCTTTTACAGTGAATACAAATCTTTTCATAATAAAATATATTTCTTTTTCATAAATATGTAAAGTCATGTTTTTAAAGAAATATTCTAAATCTAACCAAAATAATTTGATTAATAAATAAACATAAAATAAATGACAAATGCTTTCAGTTTTGTTATTGCAAAACACGCTTTTCCTCAACATCCATCCTGAATCTTAATACAGCTAGTAGCTTATTTGATAAACATATAGCAGTAAGTGCAGCGGTAACGTCAGATCCTATTTATGCTGAAAGTCGGCTGTTGTATTTAAACCCTACGCGGGTTCGGGAGCTTCATTTGGCTATGAGGGAGACTCCGACCAGAGTTCACCGTGTCAAGAGTGGAAATACTAGTTTTGGAAAGGCCCATGCTGTGCAATCATGGTTTGGACTATGAAGACTGACTTTGGTCAAGAGTTTATTGTTGGAGAGTTGTTTATTTTTTATTTTGAGAATAAATGGATTGACATGTTTTAATTTAAGTTAAAACTTTTGAAAGTTTATTATTTTACCTTATTATATTTTCGTGACAAGAAAACAGCATGACAGCAACATGTGTACTGAACAACCAATGGTGCGCCAACAACTAGTCAAAAACCACCTCTGAAAAAGAAAAGACTCATCAAGTTTAAACAATGTTCATTCACCGCTGGCATTTTGGGCGCAGCAAGTCTCAAATTGGACAGTGAGGTGGGCTGGACGCGATGACAGACGGCGGAGGTCGATAGCAGATTAGATTAGATACTCAAATGCAGGTCTAGATCAAGTAAATAGCGGTAACGGTAGCTAACACACACGTAAGATCTACAGTTATCAAAATGTGTGCCCAGCATTAAGAATAAAATCCAATGCACTGACGTTTTGGTTTAAAGTAAACAAGGACTCGAAATGAGAGACATTTGGGTAGGTTTTACACAAAGAAATTAAAGTGTTGGTTATGCTTTATTTCTGATTTCATGATATTTGAATGAAATATGAATGAAAGTAAAATTCATGAAAATCATCAAGGTTACGATGGTATTAAGGTATCACCTGTGGTGTCTGCTAAATCTCAGATTGATAATGAGGAAACAGCTGCGTTAAAAAAACTAAAACTTACAACAAAAGAACTAAGACAATTGAAATTAAGTAACGCTGCCAACATCATACAAACAGTTCAAGGTTTAATCTGTGAGTCTGGTTATGAAGCTTAAATAAAAGGTAGCTTCAGCAAATATGAAGAGTTAATTAATGAGGCAAAAGCTGCACATTACAATCTGCTTGTGTTGTTACCCATGGAAGAAAAGGAAAAACTATCTGGTTAACAGCAAAGTGCGGATGAATTTTTCCAGTTTGTGGAAAATAATTTTAGGACAAATAATGGTACTACTGAAAATGTTCACCTTGAAGATGAAATAAAAGCAATGGACAGAGTGTCAAATGTTCGAACATTAACATCATCATGCAAATCATTTAAAATCTGCACCAGTGAAAGATCATCAAGTCAATCAAGCAAAGCTTAATTTAAAATTGCAAGCTGAAGCTCATTTGTTCTTTACCATTTCCTGTTGCAAGCTATTTATCAAAGCATTTTTAACAAATGCTTTCAAAAAGTGATGGGGACGTGTCCCCAGTGTAAATAACACAGATGCCGACACGTTTTATCCTATTGACGTTAGCCTACATTATTTCCAGGGTGCTGCCTGTATAAATGTGGGCAAAGTTATAAAATTGGCAGTTTGGTGTGTCCATAGACTATATATAAAAAGAGTGTGTACCACTGCCAGATGCCACAGTGTGGCAGACTAGAAAAAAGACCCGCCCTACTCTGCCTATGATTGGCTGTTGGGTTGAGGCATTAGGAGTGACTGTTGGTTAGGCACAGCCAGTTGTAAAGTTGCAAAGCTCATGCTAGAGAGGAGAGGATTTGGTAAATAAAACGGGTAGCCCCCCCAATATGTTTTCTCATCAGATCTGCACAAATCACGTAGGTGACCCATTTTGGTTTCAAAACAGCAAATATCGCTGAAAGGTGAGGAGTGTGCATGCCTGCAAAAAGCACCTGGGAAACAACCAAGTAATGTAGACACAAGCAAAAAAGCCCTCAGTACTTTAATCCTGCTGGAAGGATCGGCCTCAACAAGCATCTTGATTTATTTCTTTTGCTCTCAGCAGGACACTTGTGTTGTTTGAGATGAGCCTGCCGAGTGAATCTTTTATCACAAATGCTGCAAATAAATGGTTTCTCCCCTGTGTGGGTTCTCATGTGATTGGACAAATTGCTTCTGCGACTGAAACTTTTTTTACAAACTGAGCAGCTGAAAGGTTTTTCTCCTGTATGAACTCTGAAGTGTGACGTCAAGCTTGAACTTTCAGCAAATCTTCTACCACAGACAGAACAACTGAAGGGTTTCTCTCCTGTGTGGATTCTCATGTGCCTCAAAACATCTCCTTTACCTAGAAAACTTTTTTTACAAATTGAGCAGCTGAAGGGTTTCTCTCCTGTGTGGGTTTGCATGTGTTTGGATAAATGGCCTCTGCGACTGAAACATTTTTTACAAACTGAGCAGCTGAAAGGTTTTTCCCCTGTATGAACTCTCAAATGTCGGGACAAATGTGAGCTTCGTGTAAATCTTTTACCACAGACAGAACAACTAAGCGGTTTCTCTCCAGTTTGGATTTCTGTGTCTTCCTCCAGATGTCCCCTGTGGCCAAAGCCTGTAGCACATTCAGAGGAGCAACTTGATGTTTTTCCTGTATTACATTCCACATCACATAAAGGTAATTCGTAGTTTTGCAGAGGGTTTGAACCTGACTGAGGTTCCCTGGTCTCCTCCCAATCACAACTGTCATCAGTCTCAGGTTCAGAGGAGTCTGACGTCTTGTCATCAGTATCTGGTTGTAAATGTCTATCTGGATCTGAGTTCCTGGCTGGTTCTGGTCCTCCACAGTCCTCTCCATCAGCCTCTGTTTCCATCTGTTGAGTTAGTCTTTGATGAAGCTGTGAGGACTGAGGTTTCTCTTCATCATCCTCTTCACTCTTCACAGGGACAGGAGTGAATGTGAATTTGGTGGTATCATCCTCCTCCAACCATTGAAGCTGATCTCCCTCCTGACTGGACCAGAGTTCCTCATGTTCCTCTTTAATGTGTGGGGGCTCTGGTGGGTCCTCCTGGTCCAGACTGGGGCTCCACTCCTCTTTAATGTGTTGGGGCTCCGGTGGGTCCTCCTGGTCCAGACTGGGGCACCACTCGTGCTGCTCAGGGGGAACCTCTTCTTTATTCATAAGCAGCTGGACATCTGTGGAGAATAATGAAATACATAAACACGTTTTTTAAAACTGTCACTTTCTGGTAACATTTAAACCATTGACACCACTACTTTCTTAAACATGTGGAAAAATTATACACATTTTGTATAAACATATGTGGAAGGAGGGCTGGGTTAAAAAACAATCTCGATATCTCACAAACAAATAGGAAATTCGCTTCTCGTTTTTATCTTTAGTAGCGCAACGTTGTTCTGGTGTTTACCAGAGCTGCTTTTGCTTTATCCTGTTTAATAGAGATCTAATAGAGATCTACTGCAGCAATGCATTCTTTTTGAATTGTCCGCTATCAAACAGTATTATAATAGCCTGTTTTAACATTCTACTGTTGCAGTAGCCTACATTTATTGTAAACTGTCCCCATAAATAACTGCACGTGCTTTTAGTATTTTCATGATACATAAAATTAGTTTATATTGATTCCATTTGTAATATTTTCTTATTGAATTGTTGAAATTGTATTCACTACCACATGAAGACACACTCTTTCTGATGACAAAAAGTGGTTAAATTGTAAAACATATTTCACAGGGACGTATCCGTTGTCTCTTCGCCCAATATCAATGTATAAATGTATCAATGTATCATAACTGTAGGAAGCTTCATCAGGAAGTAGTAACTTCAACGGTAAAAATGTCAAAGAGGAACAGGAAGGTGAAGAACCTAAACAGGCAAAAATGTGTGCGTTGCGTCAATGAAGACACTACATATCCGTAACACGCCCACTCTGCGACACTAGTAATTTCACTCCGGTTTACTCTGTTGCTTTCCTTATCCTCTGGCCCTTTGGGGACATCCTCATCCAAGAGGATCCTCAATACCGCTGGTTCGTTAGTGCTCCTGGCTGTGGTAACGATAGTCGTCATGGTCGTTAGAGTCACCCGTGGCCAACTCTGAACAACTGTTGTTGGTATCTTCACCTGAGGCCAAGTGGAAAGGCTTGTTCAGATTCCTGGGAAGTGATGAAAGGACCACATTGTAAGTGGGGGATAAGTGGTGGCGTAGACCCCCTCCTCTGTTCAGCGATGGCTTCTCAGCCCGGTTGTAGATGCTTCTTTGACACCTCTTTCAAACCATCCATCTTCTCTGTCTAAAATGTGCACCTGATGATCCTCAAACGAGTGTCCTCTGTCCTTCAGATGTAAGTAGACTGCAGAGTCTTGACCTGAGGAGTTGGCCCTTCTGTGTTGAGCCATGCGTTTGTGTAGTGGTTGTTTAGTCTCACAGAGTACGGTCTAGACCTGCTCTTTTATGAAAAGCGCTGTGAGATAACTGTTGTTGTGATTTGGCGCTATATAAATAAAACTGAATTGAATTGAATTGAATAGTCTCCCCAATATACAGGTCTGTGCATTCCTCACTGCATTGGACCGCATACACTAGATTGCTTTTCTTGTGTTTGGGTGGACCAGTATCTGTCTTGGTGTGTTCTTGGGTTTAAAAAAACAGGGATGTTGTGTTTATTGAAAATCCTCCTGAGTTTCTCTGATACTCCAGAAACGTATGGAATCACAATGTTGTTGCGTTTGACCTTCTTTTCCTCCTCCCCTGTAGTGTTCCTACAGTTGCCCTTGACCTCAACCTTCGTTGGAGAACTATGACCTTGCTACAAAAATAGATCTTCTCAGGGTATGAGCAGCTTTACATAAACCTAATATAATCACTATTTCTGAATCATGGCTTCATAACAAAATCACTAATGATGAGGTGGGAATTGATAATTTAGATAGAGCTGATAGGGCATCAAGAGGAGGTGTGGCTACTTATGTTGATATAAATCTGGTCTCTGAGTGTGTCTCTCCCAATGTTGCGCCTACTAACTTTGAGTGTCTTTTTATCAATATCATCTTTCATGAAAACAAACAGCTTACTATTGGAACTATTTACAGACCTCCCTCTGCTCCCACTGATTCCTTAAATGGTATCTTGGCTACTATTAATTCTCTGGACAGACACAATGAATTGATCATAGTGACTTTAATAATAACTGGTTGGATCGGACTTCCTCAGGTGATAGAAATCTTTTAGGTAGTGTAGGCCTTACTCAGCTAATTACAGAACCCACGAGAGTTGATGGCCGTTCCTCTACCTTGCTTGAGTGGATTCTTGTTTCCAATCCGGATAGGATTATCAAATTGGGAGTTTTATCAGACTGCTTTAGTGACCATTCTATAATATACTTTATCTGGAAAATTAAACTACAGAGTTCCCCCTATAAATATATCACAATAAGGCAATGTAAAAATAAACTATTCAAACAAAGGAATAAAGCTTGGGCTAAATATCACTTCTCAAAACATGAATCTGATGGGACAATATATAGACAGTTTTTGAATAAATGTCAAACTGAAACTAGGAATGCTAAATCTAATTACTACAGAGACTGTTTCTCCCATGATTTCAACAACCCTAGACAATTCTGGAATCACTTAAATAACTTTCTTAACAAAAATTAAAAAAACTTCTGTAAAACAAATATGCAAGGATAATTACATTTTTTCTGATCCCTTGCATATAGCTCATGCCTTTACTCATCACTTTTGTAGTTCAAAATCTGTTTGCTCTGATGGTTTGGCATGTTCATCTAATTCTTCCATGCCTGCTGGCTCTTTTTCCATTTAAAAAGATCATGCCTACTGATGTCTTTAATGTATTACATGACCTTAAATTAAAACGCAGTGCAGGACCAGATGATCTTGAAGCCAAGTTTATCAAAATTGCAGCTCATATATTGATGTTTCCTGTTGCAGATATTTTTAATCTATCACTAACTACCTGTAATGTGCCACAAATTTGGAAAGCTGCAAGAGTGAGACCAATCGAATGTGAATAATTATCGCCCGATTTCTGTCATTTGTGCAGTTGCTAAAATATTTGAGAAATTAATTTGTAACCAACTCACGGAGTACATTAATAATTATAACATTTTATCTCCACATCAATCTGGCTTCAGATCTACTTCAACTGCTCTCTTAAAACTTACAAATGATGTCTTCTCGGGTTTTGATAATGGTCATTTCATTGGTGCTGCTTTCATCGATCTCTCAAAGGCCTTCGGTATGGTTGACCATTACCTTCTACTGATTAAGCTTAACTCTATATATGTGCTCTGGTTTAATTCTTATTTGCATAAGAGACGTCAGTGTGTTGTTTACCAAAGATTCCAGTCATACTATTTAATTGTTGATAAAGATGTTCCTCAACTTTAGGCCCCTTACTTTTCGATCTTTATCAATGACCTGGCACAAGTTTGTTCTCATTGTAATTTAGAGCTTTATGCTGATGACACTGTCATCTATACCTCTGACCGTGATTTGCTGCAAGTTCAAGGAACTCTTCAATCTGACTTTGATAAAGTACAACAGTGGCTGTTCATTAATAAACTTCTGTTGAACATGAAGAAATCCAGCTCCCTGGTGTTTTCCACAATACAAAATCACCGTTGTGCTTCTTGTTTTGAAATAAAGTTTTTAGATGGATCCCTTATGCAGAATGTGGAGGAATTTAAATATTTGGGCCTTTGGCTTGATTCCAACCTTACCTTTCAGATATACATTGACAATATCATTAGGAAAGTATATAGATGTCTTAACACTCTGTACAGATCAATCAATTGTTTTTCAACGCAAGTCAGAAAAAAAATTATTTCTCAACTGGTAATACCAATCATTGATTATGCAGACATAGTCTACACTAATACCTTTGAGTCCAATCTTAGACCTCTTAATGTTGTATTCAATTCCCTTTGCAGATTTATACTAAACTGTCCAGTTAAAACTCATCATTGTCTTATGTATCACTCATTAAACTGGCTGCAACCAAAACCACGAGGGGATTACCACTGTATTCTGTTTATCTTCAAATGTGTTTATTTCAATTGTCCTGCATACCGTAGACAGCACTTAATACCTTATTACTCGACATACCCACTTAGACACCTCCAATGTCCAACAAATTTTACGGTACCAAGGTCGTTTTCTGTAGCTGGTAGGAGAGCATTTCAATATAAGGCCCCTCAAGACTGGAATAACATTCCTCTTTTCCTGAGATCTATTTCCACATTTCGCTTATTCAAATCGTCACTTTTTTCTTTTGTTAAAACTACATGCTCTTGTTATTAAGAATACCAATGTAGTATTACATATAAATTGTTTATGTAGAAAATATATATTAGTATGTATATGAACATGACTTCATTCTCTTTATCTTGATTTTCTTTGAACATTCCAATGTGAGATGTGCATATTGATAAATGACGTATTGGTTGTTTAATGCACTCGGCTGATTATTTGTCAATATACTTTAATATATGTGCTATGTCAATTGTGGGGGTAAGGGCAGGTGAGCGAGTTTTTGTTTTGTATATATGTCTGTGTTTGTATTGTGTTTGTATATGTGTGGTTAATTTTGTGTCTATGTATGTATGCTGCAGGACCCCCTTGAAAATGAGATGATACTTCTCAAGGGGTTATCCTGAAATAAATTCAATTCTGTCTCTCTTCAGCTGTTGCTATCCAATAAAAGGCAAAAAGCCCCAAAACTGTCTTAAAATATTATTACCATTACTTTACATCTCTATGTGGAACATCCTTAAGGTTTGCCCGTTTCCATCTCTGTATAAACACATTTAGGTGGAATTATACACTATTTAAACATCACAGTGTAGTTTATGTGCACTACTGTCTATAACCAGTTTTCATAACACATATACACATTACTGTCTACATGACAGTTTATGACCAATGTACACCGGCTGACTACAGTATTATAGTATAGTATTATAGTGGAGCTGGTTTCCAGCAGTTTACAGTGAGAATAAGCAGTAAAGTGTACAAACCTGCTCCAGGCTTGAAAACAGCGTCCAGTAGTTTGCGTTGTCCACAAAGTTCCTCCTCGTTCTCCACTTTAGACATTTTTACTGATTCACAGCAGCTTTTCCTCCAGACTGTTTCCAGCTAGCAAGCTAAGCTAA